ATGCTTTTCAATAACTGCATAGCATTTTATTTATTTGTTATCTATTTAATTAATCAGCCTCTCTCCCCTTTGTTTTTTGGAAGTAAAGGTAGTTCTTAACTCTATTTTAAGTACTGTTGCAATAAAATCTATACATAAATATCAATCTATCTACATGCATTAATGATTATTTTCTAGGGAATAATTAATGAATCATGGTATATGAACATTTTTGAAACTTAACATATACATTTTCAAACTGCATTCCAGAAATAATGGCTCCAGTTTATACTCTGATCAGCTGTATATGAAAGTGCTCATTTCACTGCACTCCCACCAAGACAAACTGTCACTGTTTTTATATCTATAAATCTGGCAAAGATTTAGAAAGCATCTTATTGTTTTGATCTGTATTTATTTGATTACCAGAGTACTAAATTATTCAGCATTTTATCATCTATTTTCAAACACCACATAAACCATTTATGCATTGTTTTTTATATTAATATAAACCCGAAATCACTACTTTCTTCATCCAAAATTGTTTCCTAAGCAAAATTATATGTTGCTCTATTTATACATTTCATATTAGTTTATTCTCTCTCATATTTATATCATGTAAAGCCTATCTGCATTATACATTAATTATGAACAGTTGATCACACATCTTTTTTAGGACCTATTTTCTGGAAACCTAAATTTCATAAATCTTCTTTTAAATAGCTCTATAGAATTTCCCCTGGTTTCAATAATTGCAGACAAACATCTTTCTTCCATTTCCTATTGCTTCTGGTCTGTAGCTCTTCCTTTTTTTTTCATAAGATAAATAAAAATTTTAGTACCAGACTCTACGATATATTATTTCTTACTCCCAGCCTTCCTACGACATTTTAAAGATTCAAATTGACCTTTTCTCCCATTCTTATTTCAAGTTACCAGTGTGTCAATACCTGAGAAATCTCATCAAGGGTTTAACACTCCATACCCTACTACTTATTCTTTATTTCAATTTGATCTTCCTTATTCTCATTCAGTTCTATTTTTTTAGAAACATAACTTCTTCAATCTTTTTATTCTTTAATGCATTTCTCCAAATAGCAGCTGTAATCCTTACTTGCCCTTATTCAGCAAAAATAAAATAAAATGCACCAGGCTTCTTGAAAGCAAATTATTAAACCAATTTGAGAATGAGAAAATTCATGTACTGATGAATAAATGAGGACCATAAGGTGATGTTTCTCTCAAGTGGAGCAGAGATGGGAATTCCTGTGACCCTCCTGGGTTTTATTCTGAACAGGCTAAACATAGCACTGTTTTTTTAAAAATTAAGTTTTCTTCAATTCTCTAATATTTGTTTACAATTTTACATGTCTATACTTGTCCAATTTTTAAATCTCTAGACCTTGTTGCTCATACAGGGGGTCCTGGGACCAGTAACATCAGCTTCACTTGGGTGCTTGTTAAGAAGGCAGAACTTTAGGCCCCTTCCAGAGCCATTGAATCGGAATCTGCAATGTATTCAAGTCCCCAGGTGATGTGTATGTGCAGTTCAGTGTGGAAGCACTGCTCTAGCAGAGTGGAAGTCTCTTCTATCTGCCTCATATAAGTTGCAGGTGACATACTTAGTTAGTCAGGCAAAAATAGCACATTTCTTAATGCGAAGAAGCAGACACTGGCTATATTTTCATTGGCAAAACAGGTTATTTGGTCCCAATTAAACATACAGATGATAGAGACGGAGACCAAGATTTTTAATTGAAGACATGCCTTTGCTGCAGTTATGCTTGCTGGATGAGAGTACTTGAACGATTGCATGCAGGCTTCTTCTTTCTTCTCTTTGAGGTAAAGAAAGGAGGAATCAAAAGACTTACAGAGCTCAAGGAACTATTGGGTTGTTGGAAAAGTCATGACATACGTTTTCTATGTTTTTCGATACGAAAATGCGTCATGACTTTTCTGACAACCCAATAGAAACCAGCTAACAAAAGCATGCTATGCAGCTTCCTCATCTCACCATATTGCTTTCTTGAAAACATTGTACAGAGCCAGTTAGCATTCAAAAAATCAACTCTCTTCATTCTGAAAAAATAAAAAGAAACGCTGTAATTTGGGATCAGAAGTTTTATAGAATACTATTTACAATTATTTTCTTCACTAAAATCTGATTACCAATATGTAAAAATGTCTACTTTATTATCAAGCAGTAGCCTTTCTTCTGATCAGTGTTATTTTTTAATTAACTTTAGAAAATGATATTCTGCAAGGTATGCTTAAACTTTGTGATCCTGAGATTTTATATTTTCAAATTGAAGATATCCTCTTGCATCATAAAAAATACTTAAGATGGTTTAGATGAAATGTGCTTACTGAATGAATTTAGTTATTATACAAACCATGTGTTTTTCCATACCAAATTCAATGAAATAGAAAAAGACAACAATTCTATCTAGTATTCCTCTTTCAATATTGCAAAAATTAGGAATATGCAGGCCGGCCGAGTGGCACGTTGGTTAAGAACTGGCTTGGGACGCCAGAGGGCGCCAGTTCAGATCCCACATATGGGGGACAGTGACACTGCCCTCTACAGCTAAGATGCTGAGCAACAGCTCAACCTGGAGCTGGGCTGCCATGAGTCGCCAGCGTCGGCGTAGGCTGCAGCCCCTGCTGCAGTGGGTTGCCAGGGCTACCGTGTGTAGCCAGCAGCCAGCGTGAGCGGCCAGCAGCCGCAGTGAGCGGCCGTCCAGAAGCCGGCGACTGATCTGCCTCACCTGGGAAGAGTGCAATGGTGGTGCCAACTTGGACCAGTGAAGCAACGTCCTCCACAACTAGACTGAAGAACAAACGGACGGCAACTTGTCTGTTTCCCTTCCCCCAATTCCCCAGCACTGTTCCCATCCCCTAACTCCCCAATAAAAATTAAAAAAAAATCTTTAAAAAAAAAATTAGGAACGTGCATATTCTGTTATATTTGCAAGTTCCAGGGCTTCTCTTTTACTTAGAAATAAAATAATTGATAAGTAAATAAATGGAGTGTGTGTGTGTGTGTGTGTGTGTGTGTATTGTAAAAGATTAGATAGGTCTAGAAACCCAATTTGCTTGAATAGCTAGCTGAGTACTTCAAGCAATAAGCATTTTTATTTCAACAACTTTGCATTAAACTTCAATGATAAATAAGCAGAGTAGACAGAACACAGTGAATACTTGAGTCAGCTTATCACTATACGAATACAATAACAAAATGCTATAGTTTAGAGTTAAAAAGTGACTACTTTGCAAATTTGGAGGTATTTGAGGGCTGTAAGTCGCATATGAAGTGAACAACACACCAGTGGAATTTAGTCTGCCACCTGCATGAACACTATTTAAACTAAAAGGATTTCCTTAGCTTTGAACCACTTCCACGTGTGTTTGGATTTACCCTATAATCATGGGCTTGCCAGGCACCACCTTTCTGGTCCACACTGATGAATGAAAACTTACACTTGTGTTTGGTTTTTCTAATCTGACCCACTTTGATTCCTTCAACTCTCAATCTTATTTTTTATTTGTGTTTTGCCATTTTACAGTAAACATACATAACATATATGCCAACAAGTAGAGGATGGAAAATTGCCAAAGAACTATGGTTAACTTTGTTCTTTTCACAAACCAGACACCATAACACAGAAAAATAATGTTCAGGAATGTGTGCATTTCAGTAACCTTCAGTGCAATTAAACTGGTTATTCCAAAGTTTCTGAAAATCAGTATTTTTTGAAGATTCGTCTATGGTGGTAAATGTTATGTGTTAACTTGACTGGACCACAGAGAGCTCAAATATTTGGTCAGACATTGCCCTGGGTGTTTCCGTTAGGGTGTTTTCAGGTGAGATTGCTATTTAAATTGGAGACTAAGTGAAGCAGATTGCTCTCCTTAGTGTGGGTGGGCCTCATCCGATTGGTTGACTGCCTGAATGGAATGAAAAAGGTGATGCTCCCCTGAGTAAGAGAGGATTCTTACTGCCTGACTGCCTTTGAACTGGGCCATTGGCTTTTTTCTGCCTTCAGACTTGAACTGAAACTTCAGCTCTTCCTGTTCTCGGGCCCGCAGACCTTTGAAGTGAAACTATGCCTTGGCGCTCCTGAGTCTCCAGCCTGTTGACTCACCCTGCAGGCCTTGGAACTTGCCAGCCTCCACACTCCATAACCATGTGAGCCAGTTCCCTAGGATCTATCTATCTATCTATCTATCTATCTATCTATCTATCTATCTATCTATCTATCTATCTATATATCCTGCTGGTTCTGTTTCCCTGAGGAACCCTGACCAATAAAAGGTCCTCACATAATTTCAGAACTTTGACTGGGATATGTATTTCTTATGTGTTTCTTAATCTAGTATTTCCTCTACATATAGTGTTCCAGTTTTGTGTGTGATTATTTTTATAAGATCAGAGGTGAGCAGAGGTATTTATCATGACGTTTTAACTTTTTCGTACATACTTAATTTTCAGACAATTTTTGCTTTCTTTTTGCCCATCTCTCCAAGATTTGGGGACAAGTAGTAGATTAGCTTATGGTGACTATATTATAGACACATTTGTCTTCAATTAGTCCAGTTTTTAGAAAAGACACTAATTAAATTATTTCCAATTATAATATCAAAATCATTAAACAGATTGCAGAGCTAGGGAACAGAGTGGACCTGCTCCATTTTCAGGTGGTTATAAGGAATACTATGTCCACAAAACATGTAATTGAGGCAGAATCTCTTGCTGTTTATACAACAGCTATTTCCCATTCTTCCTTGATAATATATCTCATTGTTTAAGACCTTGGTCTCAATTGATGAATCATAAAAAAGTCTGTGTCAATAATGTAATATCATTTCCCCTTTGCTTGTGATTATTTCAGGCAAGCCTGTGATCTATCTGACCTTTAAGATAGGAAGAAATATGTCGAAGACTTCTGGGAAAGATTTCGTCCTTAAAAAAGGAGAAGACCTTTTTGCTTCTTTCTCTGCCTTCCTACTTTGGAAACTTTCAAATAAGTATGGGCTATCTAGAGCTGAAGCAGCTTTTTATCACAATTGTGAGGTGATGAGCTGATGATGAAATTCAATACCCTGAAGAAGGCAGAGTTAAAAGATGGAAAGAAAGTAGTTTGTTAAGATACCACTGAGCCACCAAACCAACCCTGGGACCAACTACTTTAAGACTTCTTGGTAAGGGAAAATCTAATGTTGCTATGTTAATAAGGTTTTCTATTGTTTTTAATCAAGTACAACTGAACTGGGATAACCTAACATAATTAATTATCTATTATAAGGTATAAATTTATCTTTATTTTTCAATAGTTTATTCTTATTATGTTAGCTTCATTCTGAGTCACCTACTTTTTCTTACCTTATAATTGTACTATGTTAATTTCCATTATGAGTTTTTCTATTGACATTCCCATTGATTTAATACACTATGGTTGTCTTTGCTTGCATAATGTAATCTTCTAACATACTTTATTAGAAATATAAATAAAGTATTTTTTTACACTAATGGTCAAGGGTACCCCTCAGAAGTTCACAGAATTTAGAGCAAATGCTTCTATTTTTGGCAAAATAACTTTTTTTTGTTGTTAAAGAAACAACTCTTGATTTGATCTTGGTCCATTGTAGACAATGAAGTCCTATCAATGTAACAAACTGGACAACATGAACTGCTTCTGATGAATTAAGTGCTACCCAATTAACTAATCTACTCCACCAGCAAGTGGTAATAATATATATGGACTTGAGCCAAAATAGATCCTGAAGACACAGTAAACTGCATGAGCTTACTCTCTGCACTGCTGTTCCTCTTTAATCCTCACCTATGTCTTCATGGTAAGCTCCTTATGGCCAGCTAATCAATGAGAAAAAAACTGAGCCTCATTTACAGAAGTCACCACATAATACATCATCACCAGCCAAAAGTAGATTGCTTAGGCATTATTTAAATTGCACTTGAGTGCAATTAAAAAAAAACAACTTCAGGCTATATTATTTGGTTGTGCACTATTCTTGCAGAGACAAATAGTGTTCATTTATGTGTGGTACCTAATAATTTGGCTAAATGGTTAAGGACTTGGAAGGAACAAGATTGGAGGATTGGTGACACTGAGTTTTGGGGAATGAATATGTGGATGAACCACTGGGCTAGAGTATGAGAACATTTGTGTTTAATATGAATGCTGCCATGGTATCTGATTCTATATTGTTTGTATGCAAGAAACTCACATTATAACAAAAGAGTAAATATCATTGAACTTGGCCTGTTTCATCATTTACTCTATCACCCAAAAATAACTGTTATTACAGAATGGTGAGTATTCCATTGAAGACTTAATTCAGTACCAGCTGAGAGACAATGGCTAGCAAGGTTGGGCTGAATCCAGAGGATGTAGTGTGTTTTATGAATGTGAAAATGACACCTTTCACCATTACAACTACTGATTCTTTTTAAACTTTTGTCTCCTATCCCTGAGATTCTAGACTTGCTGAATTAATGCCCAAGGGAAGATCCGCAGCCATATTCCATTGAATCTGAGGATGAGAGACTGGTATGTGGCCTTTTAGGACTGTCATGACTCTGGAGAAACAAACAACAATTTAAGAGGTGGTTACATTGTTGGCTGGGGTAATCAACCTTGACTCTAGAGGGGAATTGAAGTTGTAATTTCTGAGAAAAATGGAAAGAACCCAGGAGATCCCCTTGAATAGCTCCTATTTCTGCCAAGTCCTGCAGTAAAAACTAATGAAGACTAATTCCCAAAACTTGGAAGAAGCAAGATATCTTTCAGTAGGTGGATGGATAAATAAACAGTGGTACATCCGCACAGTGGGGTGTTACTCAGTGATTTTTTTTTTTAAAGAGAGCTATCAAGCCATGAAAGACATGGAGTAAACAAATGTATTTTGCTAAGTGATAGAAGCCAGTCTGAAAAAGCTATACATTGTAAAATTCCAACTATATGACATTCTGGAAACTATAGAGATAGTAAAACATCAGTGGTTGCCAGGAGTTGGGGGGAGATGAATAAGTGAAGTACAAGGAATTTTTAAGGCACTGAAAGTGTTTTGAATGACTCCATAAAGGTAGCTATGTGATGTTATATAATACAATACATTTGGCAAAACCCACAGATCTGTACAATGCAAAGAATGAACCCTAATATATTGACTCATTAATTTTAACAAGTGTACCACACCAATGCAAGATACCGTAAATAGGGGAACCTGGGGTCGGCGGGGGAGGGTGGACATAAAGGGAATATGTGGGAACTCTCTGTACTTTCTATTCAGTGTTTCTGGAAACCTAAAACTGCTCTAAAAAATGTCTATTACTTGTACTAAATAAAATAAATTAACAGTGACCACAGAAAGCTTATGCAAGTAGATCAAGAAGGTCATTTCTGTCAGGAATGAAGATCTGGCCACTTTACAATGTAAAATTCTTCACCAGCAGACATGTTAGCTAAGGGCAGGTGGTCATAGGTGCCAGTAATGGCCTGGTGACCATTTACAGAAACCAGGGCCTTAACTTCCACCCACATGTTCTTTTTTGAATTGCCTTGTATATATTTATATAGCTTAACAATTTTTCCCTCTTCTTTCCTCTTCTTTTCTCTGTCTTTTTCATATAGGATATACTGGAGGCGGTTCACTTAATTTTGAAGCCATGTGTGACAAAATGTCAAGACAGTATAGTGATAGACTTAGGAGAGGAACGGACATCACCCAGGATTCTTGGGCGTGGAGCAGATGCTGTTGACTGAGGAGAGTTTTGGATGGTTTCCTTTGACGAAGAGAGTGTAGGTAAGTGTTCACTTGTTGGAGAAATAGTTGCCTTCTGTTTTAGGAGGAAGCATGGGTATTTTGTATTTAATTGAAAAAAATACAAGTGTATGCTGATACTGAGCAAATCAAAGCATGGATATTTATTGTTAATTGAAATTTATTCCTATGTTTGAGGAAGTCCCCAGCCTATCAGCCTTGATTGGAGCCAGAAATCACCTCTTGCTTTAAGAAACCAAAATGCCAAATGCTTGCTTTCTCAGCCTCCTTTGCAGCTAGGGTACAAGCATATGATTTAGCGTCTGCCAATCTGTTTGCCTGTGCTGAATTTTGACTTACAAATTCATAAAGAAGGAAAGAGATTCAGTTAAGCTTTCTCTGTTTCTAGTGGAGGCAGTGCAGCAGCTGCTGAAGTGTCTGTGGTGCAATGTACAGTGGGAGTCGGGGTCCGGGGGGATGGTTTACCCGTTGGCCCAGGCTTGAGCAACACACACAACTGCTCCCATCTGCAAGCTGTGGTGTTCATTCTTAGTGGCGGTGGCTGTGGTTTCTTCTCTGGACAAGCTATAAAGCTTCGTTTGGGTCACGTTTCCTAGTTATTAGCTTTGAGTCTGTTTTCTAAACTTTTCAACAGTTCCACGAGCTCCCCAATATTTCTGTGATGAATGTATTTACTGTTCAAATCAGGCATATTAGGTTCCTGTGATTTATATTTCTAAAAATCCAAGGTATATGAACATAACAGATGCTTAGCAAACATTTGTCTTTTTAAGTTAAGATATAATCTATATCACAACAAATTGAATTGAGGAAAAGACCAGCGGTTTCTTAAGTCTGGCTCTTCTTAAAAATGTAACCAGATAGACCTTATGTTTTTGACTCACTAGAAAATACTTTAGATAAAAACACAAGTCATAAACTAGCCTTCTAAAAGGTCTGGCGTGTTTGGGTCCAAATATCCTGGAAAAAGTGTTGATTCTAATCTTGTGGAAGAAGCAAAACATGGAAATATACTGAAAATCTGGAACAGAATTTTTCAATTCTAGGAATCAACTCTTTTACAGGTTTTCAATAGATACTACATGAAAAAAGAGGAATATGTAGTTAAAAAATATGAAAACTGTATCTGTATAATCATAATTAGGTTTTTTGTTTGTTTGTTTTTACTTCTTGACGTGTTTGATATTTTCTATGCTTTGGAAATCTCTAAAAGCATAAAACACGGAACTCAGTATTTTCCCAAGGAATTGGAACAGATACTGTTCTACTTACTAAGAAGTTAGCAAGCAAATATCACTCTAAACACTCTGGAAAATACTGGTATAGATTAATTATGATCTAACATTTTAGTGCTGATATAGTCAGATAATTTTGGTTGCAAGCAACAGAAAGCATAACTCAAACTGTCTCAGATAATCAAGAGAATTGGGATAATACTGAGGACTCAAGGATAGTTTAATACAGAGGTTTAGCAAGTAAAGAAAATAAATGCTTCTTATCCTCTCTGTATCTCCACTTTAACTCATTAGGTCTCAGTTTTATTCTAAGGTTTGAAATTCCATGTTATCACAAGACAATTGCCAGTTCCTAATACCTCACACTTCTGTCACATTTGGAGAGGTTTTTCCCCTTCATCATGAATTGAAAAAGCTATGCTCCCTTCTGATTTAATTACCTGAAGGCATATGCTCCTTCTCACACCAATTACCATGACTAAGAATTGGGGATGGGGTCATCCCACACAAGCATTGCTGTGGCTGAGAAATTCATTGTCTAGTGAGGAGTATGTGTGGGTGGGGAATATTGAATGCTTGGGAGGCCACTGCATGTATTTCTGACAATGTCCATCACATGTATTTTCATTCCAGTAAACTCTGACATTAAGAAACTACTAGACCAGAAATCAGAGGAGCAGAGCCTGGAGGCCCCAACTTTTGTTGATCTGAAAAAATGAAGTTGCTTTCAACTGGATAGTTTTGAATCTCACTTGCCCGTATGTCCCAGTCCAAATTTATTTTGGTAATTTTCAGACTCACGTGTCTAGGATATTCCATTTGTTTGTGTATACATGTGTATATTGTATAATATATATATATATATATATATATATATATATATATATAAAACATATATATATAATATGTATACATATTTTTAACATATTCACACATACCACCACCACATATAGTTTGGAGGCCTTCACATTAAGCTATTTCCCTTAAAGACTGAAGAGAAAAGATAGGTACAGGAGTTGAAAAGAAAACTTTTTTTTTTTCTGAAACAGCTTTTTTTAGCACAACAAAGCAAAAGTACACCACAATTCAGGGCTGGCCGAGTGGCTCAGTTGATTAAGAGCTCGCTCAAGAGTTTGAGCTCTGAGCAACAGCGGTTCAACTCCAGCCCGAGCTGAGCAGCTGCTGAGCTACCAATAGGTAGCAGGATGACTATTATATATGTATTCATATAGCAAAAGTCATCCATTGATCATACACCAATACAAACATCAGATTATCCCATGATTAAAAGTAGACCAAATCTAATAACTGTAAGCTATGTTAGTGAACCTCTTTTCCTATTTAACATTTTAGCATTACTTCTTATGTTAATTTCCTTAGCAAATGGAATCTACAAACTAATTTTTTTAAAAATTATTGAAGAAGGACTAAAACTCTGCAAACCAAGCAGTTGGGTTTATAGAAAATTCTGGGAGAAGTAGTGAGATAAAAAACTGAGAATATTATCAGTTAGTATACACTTAAAACTCTCCCATTTTATTCATGATTCAGATACTAATACACTCAAGAGATTTTGCAAAAATTGATCTGCTGGGTACTATAAATATACTTTGAGACCAAACACTTTATAACTCTTCTCTTCTAGATGTGGTTTACATAGGATAGTCAAACTTAATCCATTTTGTATATATTCCCTAAAGATCTAATCTGTGCCAGAGAAAACACAAATCTGGAGTAATATCACCTGGAGTTGGTTATTACTGTTTACCAAGTACTTTTTCCATCCTATTTCTATTTTTCCTCAAAATTTTCTATTTCAAACATACGAGAGCTCATCTTTTCAGATACCAAGTTATTTTTTGTAAAAGGAAGTTTTCAACAACAAATGTTCCCAATTTGACAATTCAGTTTCAAGGGGAAATCTTCATTTTTATAGCCTCTGTTTTCAATTGATTTAAGAGAAACCAACAATCCTATCTTATTACTAAATACAGTCATGCATCACTTGACGATAGGGAAACGTTCTGAGAAAGGCATAGTTAGGCAATTTTGTTGTTGTGCGAACATCACAGAGTGCACTCACATAAACATAGATGGTAGAGCCTACTACAAACCTAGGCTTGTCCGTCACTGACTGAAACGTTATGTGGGCACATGACTGTATAACAAATAACAATCCCTAGCCAAGAAAGTATCTTATTTTTGTTAAATTTAAACCATTAGAGTTCAGATCACTCTCAAAGGTGATTAACTATCGAAATTACTTTGTCAAATATGAAACCAATTTTTTCCTTCAGGGGAAGAAGGAAAATAGGAAAGAAAAAGCAAATGGAAAAAAGACACAAGTTGGTGGACAGGACAATCAACCTGTATATTGAGTCATGATTTTGGTCACTTTTTCACAACCTGGTGGTTATTTTCTTATATCTCCTACTATGCCTATAATAAAATACAGTGTGAAACCTATAAATCAGAGTATATTTGATAAAACATTCATTATCAAGTTTCATAAATTTATGCATTTCTAATTATAAAGTCTCTGCAATACATTTTCACATTTTCATAGACTAACATAACAAACTCATGGAAGTCTTCTGTTATGCTCTTAATTTTGTCTAGATCTGACATTATCTTCATAAATATTCACTGAAGCCACAAACAAAAGTACTATAACTTCTGGAATCCATCCAAGTTTTAAAGAAAAAAGATCAGCAGCAATTCCATAAGACAGAAGGGATATCAATCCCTTACTTTCTTTGGCTTTTTGTGTCAGTTATTTAAAAAATACTAGAAGCTGACATGAGGTTTTCTATATATTGTCCAAGAACTTGGTTTTCTGACTTTACCTTCAGATTTTCTTTCTTAACTGCATCTACTCTTGCAGAGATATCATCCATGCCAGCGTTCATCATCTTGGGTAACAAACTTGTGGGCCTTGGATGCAAAATCCTTGATGATCACGGTGCCATTTGAGCTGCCAGGATGGGGAGGGATGGGGAGGATGCCTCATGCTAGAAGAAAAACTTTTTCTTTTATTCACATTTGTAGTATGTGCAGCTAAATATTTTGCATTATGGAGGTATTATGTTTTCATAATTTTAAACACTGTTATAAAACAAGGAGATGATTTCCCTTAAATAAATTGGGCTGTCAACTAAAAGATACCAAAGTATGTTCTAGGTAAAATTTGTTTCTCAGGCTCCTATGTAGAAATTTAGAAGGCCCCTCCCATTTGAGGAGAGTCTAACCTATGTAATTGCCCACATACACAATGGCCTACAATTGTCAGCCAAATGCTGACAGAGAGAGAGACAGGGTGCTGCAGAAAGGTGGCACCTCCTGTGTTGCATTAGCTTCTACTACTTCTTTCCTCTGTGTCGGACGCGTTTCATGTTACTGTTATTTAGCTACTAATGTGCTTATACCTATAAGGGGTCTCATGTGAACCTGTAAATAATTAGAGATGCATTAGCTTCCTGGAGGGCCTACATGATTCCCTGAAGAAACCAAGGTAGCGAGGGACCTAATCATGCAATTTCCCTAAGAAGCCTAGCTTGAAGAAGAAGTCATATCACTCAGCAATGAGTATTATAATTACTCACAGCAGTTTGCCTGGTGCTATATAACATTCAATTTACGGAATTAAAGGTAGTGCAACTCAAAAGAAAAATAGCTGGTTTTAAAAGGAATGAATGGGCACATCAACTGTAGGAGGTGTCTTTGGGTTAAAGCCTCTATATTAGAGTTTTTGCAAGGTTTATATTTTTAATTAATATCCTCTTCAGCTTGTTATACCTTCCACTGAGCTTCTCTAGTACAAAACAAATCAGAAATTGATTTTTGATTGTAAGCCAAAAAGCAAACAGCCAAACAGCCGAGTGAGTGTTGAAGAAAAAGGTCTATCAGGACTAGCCGTTCTAAGAGGACAGACACTAAGCTGACAAAAAGAACCAGATACACCACAAAAACCCTGTGAAATGTGTCCCCCCAAAATAATTTTTTTTAAGATGGAGCATTGAACCTGCCAGAAAGAAAAAGGAGCAGTTTGAAGGTCTGATACTGCTAATTCCAGGGCAGGAAAAGAACCAAATAAGATACCAAAGAACTATTTAAAGTCTAAAAAATGGAACTTGAAATGTTTTCAAAAACAATTGGGATGCTAAAGGTCTAAGTTTAGTTAAAAGTTGTAACATATAAGGTTCCTATAGTCTAATCTTAGCTCTATTTAGAGTTGTATTATATTAATAATGTTTCATTTATATAACCCAAGTACTTAAAACATGTGTTTCATTGTTTATTTAATTATTTATTTTATTATAAAAATAATAAATTCCATGGAATTAGATTTAAATAGCTCACTGGGTTTAAAATGAAAAATAAATATCTTCCTTTCCCCTGCCTACAGATTTATTTCCCAGTCGTAGGCACTATTAATAACTTCTTGTTCATCCTTCGATGTGTCATTTCTTTTTTGAAAATGTAGTGTACTAGTATACATACTGTTTATTCATGAACCCTGGTTTTATCATTTAATAATATGTCTTAGAGCTCTTTCCATAACAGCATTTATCTCATTCCCTTGCCTAGTTACTGCATAGTGCATTGTACAGCCATGCTGTTGTTTATTTACCCAGCCTCTTATTAAAGGTTAGTTTCCAATTTGCCCTTGCAAACGACACTGCACTGAACATCCTTACATGCGTATTATTACAGATATATTATCAGGTTTGCTCTGTCAAAGAGCATATACACTGTTAATTTTGACAGAGGCCACTAAATTGTATACCAAAAAGATATAATTAGTGTACACACTCTCTAAGAGTATGTCAGCATTGCCCTTGTTCTCAAGCTGTTAACAACACTAGATTTTATCAACTATAAGTGTTTCCGATTTATTAGTTGGAAAATAGTAGTTCAGTGCTATTTCGATTTGAATGTCTAGCCTTATCAATGAGATTCAGCATGTTTTCACATATTCACTAGTAATCTGTTTCTCTTCCTTTTGTCGCTTCTCTTTTTCTATGTAATACTTGTCCATATGATCTACCCTTTCGTATTGGGATCTTCATTGTTTTCCTGATAATTTGTAAGTTTAAAATATGATCTCTTGGGCCGGCCGAGTGGCACGATGGTTAAGAACTGGCTTGGGACGCCAGAGGATCCCGGTTCGGATCCCACATATGAGGGCCAGTGACACTGCCCTCCACAACTGAGATGCTGAACAACAGCTCAACCTGGAGCTGGGCTGCCATGAGTTGCCCGCCATGGCAGGTGGGTGCCATGGGCTACCGTGTGTAGCCAGCAGCCAGCGTGAGCAGACAGTAGCCACCGTGAGTGGCCGTCCAGAAGCTGGTGACTGATCTGCCTCGCCCGGGAAGAGCGCAATGATGGTGCCAACTTGGGCCAGTGAAGCAACGTCCTCCACAACTAGACTGAAGAACAAAAACAACAGACAACAACTTGTTCCCCTTCCCCAATTCCCCAGCACTGTTTCCATCCCCCCAATTCCCCAATAAAAAGTCTTAAAAAAATGATCTCTTTACCTGCTGCATATGATTCTAATATTTTTTCAATTTGTTTATCTTTTACCAACGATTGTGAAATTTCTTGCTATATAGAAAGATTGAAAAATATTTTATGTAAACAAATTTTTTATTCTTTGCCATTAATACTTCTAGGTTTGGAATTTTCCAGACCTACCTGTAGAACACCTATGGGAAATTTTCTTCAGAGATAAATTGCTTTTGTTCCCATTTGATTGTTGAGCAAATACTAACATTGGCAATGTAAGGCACTGGGGAAGTTTAATTGATGTGTAATTCTTTTTAACTCTCATACCA